ACTCACATCCTCACTGGGTCCGCCGCCGGTTACATACTCAATGTAAGTAGTTTGCGTGGCTAGATTGTAAGAAGCAGTTTAATAACTTCTAAGTACATCTTCTAAGTACTGAGAGTGTAAATGAGAATGTATTATATCTCAGCTATGTATATATCAATTTAACAACGGTCATCAACAAATTGTAATTGTTAGTCCAGTCATTATAGTAAGTTCACCTCGGAATTCGAGATACCCAGCTGTAAGTCTGTAAATACTTGTATATTGACACCCTAAAAGTTTGTCTAAAAACCTACATATGGTAGGGTGTAAGCAACTATTAAATTTTAAGGTCAAAAGTCACAAAAATCGGTTTATTGCGCTTTTTTTGGAAATATCTCATTTCCTATGGGTTTCTGCTATTTGTATTCATTATCAATATTTTAGAATACAAAATTCTGTACAAATTTTGTTTAAAAATTTTTTTTATACGGTGAACCGTTTTCGAGATAGAGGGCGGAGAGCGCGCGGTCACAGCATCACTTCAGGTCAACCGGTGCCTCCGGTCGAAAACGCGCCATATATAGTTGATGAACTATCGATAAATCAATGATTATAAATATTTGTCAATTTTTATTAACTATTATATTATATTTTATCATTTTTTTCCTAACTTATCCACTTTTTATTTATCCTATATATTGTGACCAGAATACGACTAGAAATAAAGTTAAGATAAAAAGCGGTACATTTTGTAAGTATTGTACTTATTCACTGCGCCATTGCCAATTATTTGTCGTCTCAGCAATGTCTCATTACAAGGATAAGTACATAGTTTCATTTTCGAGTTTTCTACTAATACTTTGATTTTACACGGTACCCACTCTGAACCTGCGGCGATACTTCTGTAACCTACCTCTAGGACTCTAAGCGCAAGCAACAATATCTGAATGATTAATGTCTTCAGACTTCAAAAATATTTCAGAAATTCTTTTGGAAATTGAAAAAATAAACTACTATCTAACTGGAGAAAAGTTTCAAATAACCGAACTTTCTTAAATTTATGAGTTCCTAAGTTGTCTTACGTTTTCATGGAGAAAGAGCGGGCATCGTTCCAAACCAGTGCACTAAATGACAACAACTTTTTACTGAAATTGAATAACTTTGGACAATTAAGGCAATTGTGTCAAACAAAAAAGGAAGTCCAGAACTTTTAAATTACATCCCTTTAATACCTATATATTATCGCATATTCAAGATGTTATAGGAAGGTATGGATAGCCATAGGATAGATTTGGGGAAGCCACGTAAATCGAATTTACCCAACTATTATGTACTTTAAAAAAAAGACAAATTTAATATTTTATCTTGGTACCTACCGCATCATATTTCTACATCACCTAAAGGTTGACTGGGAGAGAATATTTCATGGCATTAAGCATGGCATGGCATTCTACAACATATGCATGAAGTTTTAAAGAAATAAAATAAACCTGAGAAAAGTTCAGAAAGCTTGATTGATTTTTAAAATGATGTTTATCTTTTTATTAAAAATGAGGTTTAATATAAAAAATCACAACTTTATTAACACTATCCACATACAAAAATAAAATAGGATGGCCAATTTCTAAAACATCTAGGTGGCCCTTTGAAAGATATTAAATAAACCTCCAGCTGGATAATAATAATAATTTCAGTCATGATAACAAGTCCTGAATAACCAAACAAGCATGTTAAAGTTATATTAATCATTTCACTTCTGTGTTTGCTTAGGTTGTTTATGCTATAAAGTCAATAAATAGACCGGCCTATTGACGTAGAGCTTTTGATAAATTCTTATAGCAGTTTGTTAATAAAATAATCAAAATATCCGCATCACCTTATAAAATAGGTATATTTTGCATTTAATTGTATTTGGTTTAAAACACGCACACATGTACATACATATGTGTATTCGTATGTGTACCTAATCAGCCACTAACAGTACGCTCAAGCCTGTTTCCTTAAAGGAGAACAAGGTGCTTATAAAACATTCACAGTTTGCTAAATAGAATTTTATCCACGTTTTGATTTCACTCGCGTCACATCCTACATAGGGGGCAGAACTATTGCCATTATCTTAGTGGATTAGAGATGAGTAATTGGGTGTGGTCTTAAAAGAAAAAGGAAATATAAATAATATAAAGATGTGTGTCGTTTTAATCTTGACAATGGACATCTAAGCCTTTTTGTCCTTTTAGCCGTAATCTCTATTAGTTCTACTACTATTACGTTGTGACATTGGAATGAAAATAGAAGAAGACCATAGAAAATAAACTACAAGCACGATCATTTTCAACTTATATTCTTTGTAGTCATATAAGTATAAAGCTATTAATTAATTTTAATTTACTTAAAAAAAAGTATTTACTTTTAAAAGTATTTACTTTTCAGTACAAGAAAATGGGAAATGACCGTTACAAAATACAATTAACAAACAAATTAATGTGTCACTTAATACTGAAAGTAAAAGGTGTAGTAAGTAGGACAATATAAAAAAAAAACAACAAAATTATTTAATCTTTTTAACTCATTATTACATGAAAGAGTATTTCTCACTCTTAACATGCATTCTATGATGTAATTTTATGTGTAAGTCTGTTTCTAGCACATTGAGAATAATATATCTTTCGGTATATTATTACCCTTTTCCCAAACTTATTTGGTGGTCTTTGAAGTGTGTTGTATCCTTCCAATTTGCTCTATTATTCGTCATTGTACTGCTTACTCCCTTTTTGACCTTATCTTTACTTTGGTGGTCTTCTACTCTTGCATTCGCAAACTTACATTTTTTTTAACTGTTCGCTATATTCCGCTCTTCCTCCGAACACCTTACGTTTTCAACCACTGGCGTTCCCTTCAAGCTTCCAATTACGTGTTCATTTCTCACTTTGTTCATCCTAGTCACATATCTATCTCAACAATCACATTACCTATTTTTAGAACTAAACCTGTGTAATCTACCCATGATGCCACGGTTAACAAGTTCCATTTCAACAAAAAATAAAATAAAATATACTCCTAAAAACGAGCGTACAATATAAAATTAATAAATACTTTTCATCCCTACATATTCTCATTCAATCGGCAACGAGATGAAATTTTAAAAATTCTCCATAAAGTTACGGTCAATGACTGACGGGACTGAAATCACATAAATTGGTGTCCGACTACAAAGAGAAATAAAATGTAACATCTCAATTATGAGTTGCATTCCAATATGAACTCATTGGCGCGTGGAGTATGGTCGTAACCAGCATGGGCGCAGTATTGTTATGAGCTTTTTCTTTGAAGTCAGATGCGCCATCCGAGATCGAAATGTGTGGGTAACAAGGTATCAAGGACGCCAAGATTTCTTTTTTATTGTTATGATCAGACTTTTGGTATGCAAATAAAAAAATATAATTGTATTCGCTTTGATCTCTCTTGTATCACTGATTACGTGTTGTGTATTAGTTTCTTAAATGACTAATCAGTATTTTTATTGAAATGTTTTATGAACATTCAGGGTTTTTTCTTCAGCGTGAGTTACTTGATTTATTTGCAGTCTGATCACCATAGTGCTCTCTGTATCTAGTCTAGTATTAGACGGCCGTGTGTGAGATGTGTAAAGTTATTATTATTATTCTCTTTGATTAAATTTATATACATATTGATTACATTTTAAATACATAAACATTTAAGACTACCGACACCGGGTACGGGGATTAAATCAACGGTGGTTAGGGCTCCCAGCCAGGAATTTCCATTCCAAGAACTGCCATTTGCACTAGACCATTTATGTAGCCGTCTTCAGTGAGCCGCCTATCAATCTATGAACAGATTCGGCTATCAGAACAATGATCACCGAATCCACATTCCATACATTTTAATAAGATTTATATTGTAGTTATGCGAAAAGTTTATAAGTGTGAAGGTCTTTTTTTTTATTAACGGGCTGGAAAATCCCTTCGGTTCTTAGGCTCCTTGGGGATACAGGAGCCAGGAGTATGTGATGTTTCAAATAAAAACCACCCCGACGACCGGACTCAAGTGCCCTACTCCGAGAAGGATATGAGCCATTTTATTTCTGGTTCCCCTTGGATCAACGGCGCGCCTAGTAAGGCCCTATCCCGGGGAAACCGCTGAATTTCCCCAGCCTGTCCGCCCAATCATTATATAACCAGGCCGCCATCCTATCGCCTACCGCAGCAGTTAATCTGCCACCAGAGGTGGGGACCTCTGGTGGCCGATTAACTGGACTCTCTGGCAGCCTGCGGCCCCGTCAAAGGCCAACGAATGTTGGCGGGGACAGGTCTCAACCGATTATGTCGACCAGGACTTTGCGTTCAGAAATGTGTGAAGGCCTAGAAGCTTATTAACCGTTAAAAACATTTGTAGATCTGATAAGCATCTCATTTCAAGTAAGTGTAGCATAATGGTCAATAACAAAGAATTTCTTTGATGTCGGATAACGGTCACCTGTAACGAAGTTATGATCAATTTTCTCAAGAACCAGTAGTTTTATTGTCAAGTCTTTCTTTACTTAAAGGCTCTTAAGAAATTAAATAAGAAATTTCCAAATATAGTATTTTCTCTCTCATAAGAGATTAAATACAAAATATGGAAGCTGTAGGCTCTTAAAAAGCGCTTTTAATTAATATTTTACTATCTTGTTGCCTTACTATACTAAAACCTATGAGACATACATGTTTTATTAAAGGTCTCGGTAAACGGATGTGTTAATTAGGAAATGTCCTACAGATTTATGTGCGAGTTATAAAAAGCACATCTGGTACTTTTCTCACACCGTGTGTAAAAGAATTTATATGTAAAATCTATCAGCGTTAGCAGTTTATTAAGGTAAAAACTGACTGCATGATTATCTTTCAGTTCTTTATAATTGATCCTGAATGGAGGGAGAGATGAATGGGCTTGATTGCCAAATTACTGTCTATCATTATTTGTGATGCATCATTAAAATAGTATTTTTATTTTTTTTACAGAACTCGAAATGAGATTCACCAAGTACCCTGAATCAGTGATAGCTCCTTTTGGAGATAAAGTAACGTTTGAGTGCGAAGTAAACGTGCCAGGTGAGAGGTTTGTGTGGCGGTGGAAGCCAGAGAGAGAGGAAGAGCAATGGGTTGATATAGAGAATGAGGAAGACGGCAGGAGAATAGTCGCTGCTGTACCTGGGCGAAGCACAAAGCTCGAAGTCGATGTTACAACGAATATGGAAGTTACTTTGTACCAGGTTTGTAGATTTATAATTATTATTTTTAGGGTGTACCGGCTACTGGTACCCGAGACGGCGACCGGTTTTTAGTCGGTTCATGCCTGACATAACCATAGGAACGATTACGCTCTTTTCTTGAAGGTCGTATCGGTCCGGAAATACCGCAGACTATAACTTGTTCCACAGTTGGTTGTGCGAGGCAAAAAGTGTCTTGAAAAGCGCACAGTAGTGGATCGCATATTATCCAGGTGATTTGGATAAAAAAATGGGGAGGAAACTGGTGACCCAGTTACACAATTATATATAATAAGGAAGGGAGTTTCGAGAGAAGCACCTTATGCCAGACCAGATCGAAGGCCTTCATCAGAGACAGAATCGCCAACGACACGACGGTGGGCTCATCCAGCCAGAAACAAACCCGCCTCGATGGGTAGGATGCAAAGAAGGAATGCATTCCATCCCAGTCCGCAGCAGCCTGTATCTCGCGGTCGTGGCAAGCACGTGAGTGGCACTGTACTCAGGACTAGACAAATAGACCGGACTCCTCGGATCATTATTTACAATGATCCGAGGAGTCCAGTGGGGCTTGAAAGTTTTTAGTAAACTTGTTAGTATGTCCTCAGAGTATCTGATATCATACCAGTATTAAATCAGTATCAACTTAATAGAGAGAAACTACTACAACTATTAGAAATTTAGTACTAAAAATATTAATGCTAATAAAATTATTATACAAATCTCAGAATATATTTTTTAAAATCAAATGTAATCGCGAATTTAAAAAAAACGTGTTACGTAATTTTTTTTTTATTTAAAGCGTTTGTCAGTAATACGGCTAGCGCAGTGGGTTAGAGTGAGAGAGGAGGAGCCTGCCTACCGATACCGTATGCGTGTGAGAAAGGGAAGACTGGCACCGTAACACGTTACGTAACGAAGCGGTTTACCTCCCATAAGAAGTTATCACTTCCATAAAACATTTCTACATTATTTACAGTCATGGTTGACATTTGTTAATCGTTAAAAAGTGTCATCAATTTTTACATCAGTTTCAAATTAAGTGTAAGCGTAAATACTTATGAAATAACCCAAAATTATGAACGTATAGGTACCCTAAACATGATAATGAATAATAATTTTTAAAGGTTTTTGGACTGGTTGAAACACACGTTGCATTGACCAGGACATCGATCTATATAATATTATAAATATAAATCTAAATAATAAAACAAAAAATCTTCTCAGGTTTTCTTCGTTATTGTAGAGAACGTGATCCCTTATAAGTTTGACGCTTTGTATTATTACAATTTAATGTTTACCCAGAGAAATCAATGTTCAATTAAATGTTGGACTCAACAGTCGATAAATCTAGTCAGATTAACAATGGTCCCCCGCGTGACGCCCGTTACGAATGGTCGCTTTATTGTCCCGCAGGGCTCGTAGAAATGGACTAAGAGTTTATACAGAAGGAATGGCCAGCAGCATCCGCCGTATTAAGTAGTAATATTGATAGCGGATTCATTTAATTTATTGTTGTAGTCTATGAGGGATAAAGATATCTATGGTTAGTCAACAGATAGTAAATTATTCTTTCGTATTATGTAATGTAAATGGGTGGACATGTAAAAGCAGAGAATTTACGTTCTATTCGTGATCTATTTTGATGATAAACATCAGATGCGGAGGGTCAGACCGACTGTTACTGTGGCGACGCGTGGCTACGGCATGCTTCGCCACGATCTCACGATCTTAAGACCGTTTTGTGCGATTGTTAAATGGCAGGAGTGTCAGAGAATAGTAACCACCAAAACGGATTAAAAAATTTAAAGTTTTTTGATAGTTATGTCTCAGTCTATTCATGAAGCAATGTCACATCTTCTGTACGCCTTTAAATAGGTAAACTTCTCTTTGTAGCACGTTACATTTCTAATCCTATATTTGTAAATGGATAAAAAATGAAATTGGAATTAAATCAAAAAGATTGATAAATCACTCCAATACTGAGGATTCTTCTATGTCAGAACTAGATGACAAATCTTCAGTCTTGTCACGTTGCGGTTTCAATCTGATAGTATTGATATTTTCCAAACTGGTTCTGCTTCTGATTATATTATATAACGTAGAAATGAGAATTGTACTAAACGAACCCATAGCACTTGATTTTCTCCTTTTTCTTTATAAATATTTATGTCTTGAAATAATTTTAAATGCACTTTTTTGAAACTGAAGTTTGTTACATTAAAATATGGTGGCCTGTTGGTCTAGTAGTGGATAGTGACTGACAGAAAAGCATGACTAGTTGTTCTGTGTCTGGGTGTATTTTTCTATATTATGTATATTTTTGGAAATATTTAAGTATCTTTATCAGCAGTCTGGTTAGCATAGTACAGACTCTACCTAATTTGGGATCAGATTGTCGTGTGTGAGATGTGTGAAGTTATTATTTTTATTTATTTCTGAGACAATAATTGTGATTATTTTTTCCAGTGTGTGGTCTGGTATGGAGCCGTGAGTCTAACTTCGGTTCCGGCACGCTTGACTGTGGCCAGGTTAATCAGCTCTCCTGGCAAGATCACGGCGGATGAGAGAGTGATTATAGCACCGTTACACAATACCATAGTGATACATTGCAAACAGCCTGTTTCGGAACCACCTGCTGTACTTTCTTGGTTTAAGGAAGTTCCTAAGGTAAGTTTAATAATATGTTTCCTATGATAAGGATTAGCCGCTGTCTTCAATGTCGATCACAACGATATTACGCCCCTTAAATATATCCCTCATATATAATCCTTAAATATATTCCCATAAATAACTCATAGTATTTATTAATAAAAAAACAATAATTAAGTTACATGAAATAATTTTCCTTTTGATATTTGCTAGTATTGTTTATATTTAATGGAGTTGTTATTCAGTCAAATTATGAGAAAAGAAAAACATAGATGGTTCATGTCCTTTCTGTGACCTTTCAATATTTAATATGAAATTATATATATTTAGAATTTACGTGGGGACGACATTTCTTGATTATTTACCTTTCTATGTTCCTTACAAAATAACAAGACGGACGTCCTACCTAACATGGAAGTTCTAAAGGGTCTACAACTAACTAATTTATTTCAAAAGATATTTGATACACATTTTCCTGCGTAGATTGTGAATAGTTGCTAAACTAAATTTAAATTTGGCTTTTATCTTAAACATAAAGCATGTTTTGCCAGATTTGTGGTCGCTTTGATCGTTAATCTGTTACGCTATTATTTATAATAATGTTTACTCTCTGAGTATTAACAAAAATATTTCGAGGAAACTATATTAAGGACTGTTGAAATTACTATGACATTAGATAACACACCACATTACAGCTTGAATTGCAACCTTCTATTTTACTCTACCACCATGGAACGCGAAGTTAATCAGTACTACGGTGCTATTGTTCCTTGTCATTTAGTATTTTTAAAGTATAAAGGACAATCGATCGGACGAGTCACCTTATGGCAAGTGACTACCTCCGCCCATATAAAACTACAATTTAAGAGCGTTGAGGAATTAAGAATACCGATTGTCGCCTCCCCTGTTCATCCCGTGGGTGTCGTAAGAATTGACTAAGGCAGCAAACTACGCAGGACAACAGCACAACAAAGAGAAGGAAAGATTGAAACAAACCTCATACCAACCCGTCTGGACAGGGTCTCAATTCTGCTATTTTATGTTAACGTACAATTTCATGGACATGCTATTGAGATGCCATTGACATCGGTCAAAATATCGGTATTCTACTAACGTAAATTCAGTGTGAATTGATTGTCAATGTAGTGACAATGGTGGTGTAAACAGCATTGCCATATATGGAAAATTAAATGCATAATTGCCTTACTATTTTTTTTTATAATGTACCGTTTACCAAACTATTATAAAGACATCGACGACATTTGTATCAGTGGCAGTTCAGTGAAAAGTCATAGGGATTCCCTTGGTCTCACGTAGTCAGTAGCATACGAAAAGTGCAAAACTATTATGACGACATTCCATCTAGTCTATTGAAACAATATTAAAAAAGCAGAATTGACGCTCTGGGTGGCATTGTAGGCCAAAACCTCCTTCCTAAGGAAAGACCTATATTCAGCAGTGGACTACTAAAGGTTGTTGATGATAAAAATGATGATGACCCTTTGAGTGCCCTCCGATCGAGGCTACCAAAGCTCCTCAGAGGTGAGGGGGAAATAACGGAGATGTGCGAAACCCACGGCAAACGCGGCAAAACGTATTTATTAGAACCGAAGTTTTTATAAAAAGTATCGTACAACAGCGTGTGATGATAATACTGGTATGTTTGGGTTTACTATGTATTCCTATTCAAATTATCTTATTTGGCAGGTAGTACCCAAAACGTGACTGCACTTTTTTATAAACATGATGTACAAAATAGGCCATGACTACATAAGTATTTTTCCAGTTTAAATAAAGACTTAAATCATTAGATGCAGTTTGAATACTTTGAATTTTGTAAAAAAATCTAGATTTCCTCAAATACTTTTCATAGTGTTGTGCGTTCTGTGCTGTTGTTAATTATAGGTAATGGTAATGTTTTAACGATAGGATAATGTGTTCTAACGTGAGCTCAATGTCATAGATGTGTAAACATTTTCCGGATAATCTTAGTTCGTGGAGAGCGAGTATAATTATATTGCTCTTTGAATCAAACAGAATAATTAATTTACCCTGTTACGAGTATTTACGTGTTAACCGACGCATAATTATGTTAATGTAATCAGAAACGTTTTATTTATTTTTTGTTTTGTGTTCTATCACCAGAGTTATACTTACAATATACATACATATAACAATATACATATGTTTAAGTGAGTTCATTTATATTAGTTTTGTGTGTGTTTGTGTGTGTGTGTTTTATTGTTATTATGATGATTTAGGTTACCTATTCGATTGCTGCTGATATTGTGGAACAATCTTAGGTTATAGAATATTAATATTATAAAGTAATGATACTTTTTTTACTTTAAAAATACAAACAAGCAAGCCTTATAATATCACCTACGATCGGTCAACTCTAAGACCGCGTGCGCTATTTAAAAGAAAATTTGAGCAAAATTTCGCTCTGTTACATACTTCCGTCCCTTCTTACACGATCAGGAAAGAAAGCGGAGAGAACGATGTTGTAAATAACAAAATGCTATAATTTTTCCATTTACAGGGTAATAGGAGGCAAATAGAAACCCCTCACGGTATCTTAGTAATACACAATGCAACGGTCGAAGACAGCGGGTTGTACAGCTGTAGAGCTACGAACGAGCTTAGTGGAGATGTTCTTGATGTGGCGCAAAAGATACACTTAAAGGTACAACACGAAGGAAGTCGAGAAGTACGGTTAGTACGATTTTTATACAATTTGTCTGCTCCGTTTTGTCCGAGTTATTTTTGGGGTAGTTTAAAGAAATCTAATTAACTTCTTTAAATGCAGCCGTTATTTACTACAATTGTATTAACACTTCATAAACTTGCAGACTAATAATCTATTAATAAGCTGGTTTTCCACAATGTATTCTGGTTCTCATAATTCGTTATATATTTAGGCCGAACAGAACACTGTGCTTTATAAGCTATCCCGAAATCCAGGCTCTAAAATAATTAGAATAATGGACCTGTAATTAAATTTAAATGTTTCTACCTTACTTCTGAAGTGTGTATGAAGGGCGTTACTTTTAGACTGATTAATAAGTCGCGCCTTTTAACCAAGAAGTTAGCCACCGATACTATTCAGCACAAAAAAAATGTGTCTCATTACACACAATCATTTATTCTGTATCTGTATTTAGTAAAATTTCAGAAATCAGAAGTTTATCAGTCTGATTACCACATTAAAGGCTCTCCCTATTTTAGATTTAGACGGCCTTGTGTGAGAAGTCTAAAATGTAATTTAAAAAAAAATACAAATACTCGTATATTTAAAACGATGACCTCAAATTAAAAGTAACTAAAGCAATAACTGTTGCAGATTTTTAGAAGCAGATGACTACGTAGGTGTTAAAGACAATGAAGGAGTCCTTACAATGCCCATTAAACCTAACGAGGCTCTGCGACTGTGGTGCGGAGCTGTCAGCACCCCTCCACCGAAGATCACGTGGAGCTTAGAAGGCGAAGGAATACTTAAAGAACATAGCAATTCAAATGTGCTCACCATATCAGCTTTCACGCCAGCTAATGAGGTTTGTTTTTTTTCAATGCTATAAATACTTTAAAAAAAATTATGGTACAAGGAACACGGTCACCTCATGTACCGCCACGCAGTTACACCTGCAGACTGGTATAATGAAATTAATATCATCACCAAACAATCATGTAGTGGCTAATAGCAGTTATAGCTAGTAAAGTATTATATTTAGGTATTTTATAAATTATAATATACAACTTGTCCAGGAAACTTTTTTAACACGCTTTTGCACACTTCTCAAGGACCGATAACAACACAAGAATTGAATAACTATCCGATTATCCTGATCAAAATTTTGAAAAAATCCGGTAGTGTCTTGTTCCACGTCTTAAGGCGTGTACTGAAACATAATAGGTGACTTACTAAGTTGTAAATTCTTTAGTCTTTATTTTTTTAAGACTAAACACATTTCTACGGAACTGAAATGATATGTCAGATATGTATATTAAAAAAAACTGTTTATATTTTTGTTTATAGGGCATTTACTCCTGTTCAGCTAACGGCATTCGTCGTTCATGGAAGGTCATAGCTTTGCAGCCACCTCGCTGGGAAGGCAACGTCTCAGTAGCCACTCCTAACGAAGGAATGCAAGCTCACGTATCTTGTGGAAACTCTTATGGAGAACCAACACCGAATGTGTACTGGGTCCTAAATTCTGAAGTCGTGAAGATTGAACAGAGCATCAAGTATAACAGTGAGTTTTTGCAAATATTTTAGTACATCCAAGAATAGAGAAGCTGGTATTTGGATTGTATCTGTACTTATGTTATGATATATAGGGTGTAAGGGACCGGGTACGCCGTCATCGCGGCGGTAAGATCCGTTATGGAGGATTGGCTCGAGAGGCGTCACGGGACCCTCACTGACCACTGTGATCACTGGGAAAGGATGTTTCGGGGATCACCTGTGTCTGATCCGCAAGGAGCCAACGCCTGAGTGCCACCACTGCGATGGCCAGACCGTGGACACGGCTCTCCACACGCTGGCAGAGTGCCCGGCGTGGGTTGAGCAGAGGCGAGACCTCGTGGCGGCCATCGGAGTGGGAGTTCTCTCGCTCGATAGCCGATAGGTTTAGGACTCTCCCGGCCCGCCAGGCCCGGGAACGGGCCAAGTACCGCAGGCGACTCAGGCGCCGGAGGTCGCAGAACGACCTCCGTCCTCCATAAGCGCAGACCTGGGGGTGACAGGTGAGGCCATCTGTCACCCTAGCAGAAGCAGGCCGGGGTGGCGGCGAGCGCGTTGCGAAGCGCGCTCGCTTCCAGGGAGCACCGGGCACATGGGGTTCCCACACGGGGGGGTCGTCTACTCGTCTGTAGATGACCCGAGGTATGTCGGGGTACCAGGGACTTCCTTTCTAGGGTATACCTGGTTCCCGAGATGGCGTGCGGTTTTAGTCGGTTCGAGTCCGACATGCCACCGACAGGTGGTATCCGAGGGGATTTCCGCACGGAAAAAAAAAAAGTCATTCCCCGTAGGTATCGCACAAAAGTAATAACTATATTTGTATTCCATGCAAAAAGACTACGCACACTAACACAAGTTGGTAGCCGGGGGGAAGGCCCTGCGCGCTTCGGTTTTTTGATTAATTAAATTGCATTGTCAAAAGACCGTATTACGGCATTTAATAAAAAAAGTTTATACATTGTGATATTATTTTTAACCAACAAATGTTTTTTTTTAATGAATTTTCCTGCAAAAAATTCCAATGATTTTTGACTCAGAATGATGGTCTGAATACACTATTGCCTGTTTTTGTTACGACGTCCCTTACACCCTGTATATCATTTATTATGTATATGTATACATACTTGTTTACATATATTGTACTTGATTTTTGTTTGTTGTAATTGTTTATAAGTGTTTGCATATTATCCATGGTGTAAATAAGTAAAAGTATTTTTTTGCAGACACGGACCTGTATATCGAGCACGTACAGAAGCGTCACGCGGGCATCGTGCAGTGCTTTGCGTGCAATGTATTAGGTTGCGCGTACTCAGCGGGAATGCTTTCGGTGGTGCCTTTACAAATATCTGATCAGGTCTATATTACTTCTTTCTCTATCTAAGTGTCTTACTTCGTTTAATATTTCACTAAAAAATAACTTGTCAGCAGAGAAAGTATAAAATCAGTAATAGCTAATTTTTTGTTGATTCTGCTTTCAATAATTTAATATTTCTTAAGATTAAGTAATGTATCATTTTTATCTAATAATTAAGATCTGCTATAAAACTGTAGAACGCGGTTAATAATATAGTATATTGTTTTTTAAAAGGATTATACACCTGAACTACCAAAAAACAGATACCCGATGCAACCTCCTAAAAAGCACAGCAAGAAAAACCCTAGGAAACATAAAGGTAAGTAAAAACAAATATTAACTAAGTCAAGCTTTTGTGGCAAAAATGATTGAAGAGATGACCATTCTTAAATGTTTTCGCTGATGTAAAGAATAAAGTTATTCTTAAGTCATGAAGCTATACTATGATGTCCTTTACCTTCCTGCTCCTGTTCCTTTTAGTAACTTAAACCTCTTTACTTAAAGAAATTTAATATTGTTTTCGAAGTTTTGTTTTAAAGAGGTGTGCGGGAAATACATACCGCGCTGTCAGAAGCCTGCTTCTGCTGTAGCGAAGAACGGCCATACTAACTCGACCAATCATATCATAGATAGTTCTGTGTACTTAAAAGTACCAGTCCTCTCTCGTTCTGTTTGTGAGGCGTATTAGCACACATATCTTTGTTTTATCAAAATCTGAAGAAAACATGATTTAATTAATTTATTTAAAGATTTAGTAATTTAGAAAAGAAACAAACTTCATTATTTCTTTGTTTCTTCTTTTACCAGCTGTTTTGATACCTCCATCTCGTCCGAACGTCACAAGATTAAGCGATGAAAGTGTTATGGTGTCGTGGACTCACGACAACCAAGGGCTCTCCATCAGGTTTTTCAAGGTAAGTGTTTAAGAAAATAATTTAAATCATTAATCAAACCTGGCTGAGTTGATAATATAATCTGTATGTAAAAAGTTCAAAATAAAATCCGTGGCTATCGTGATATATCTAAAATTGAAATTTTTCACAGCTATTTTAAAGTTTTGACCTTGTCTGTTAAATTGGTAAATTATCTTATTCGTCTATGTTTTAGTTGTTTTATAAGTTATTGAATGTCATCTTTTAAATGATAACAATAAAAAAACAAAATGCTCCTTGATTTGCATAGTAATAAACTTGTCAAATCGTTCACCAACGAGTTATCAAGTTTTTCATCAGGTTGTCAACTTATTCACCAACATTTAGGGTTTAGAACTTTGTCGGCCGTAACTGGATATCTCGACATATTATTAATTTTTTTTTTTATGTACGTTTATTTTTTATATACCGATAATTTTGGCCACCGAGTATAGGTAGATATATCAATGTTCGTTCACAAGAACATGAACCGTTAATTTGTAATGTGGTTTTGCCGAGATGTCAATATGAAACCAAATTATTGACTGTATTGTAGAAATGGAAACTATTGCTACTTTAAATTATATTCATGTAATGAAATGATTTGTTTTAGTCACAGCAATTTCACCTGTGATTGTGATATGGTCATAGACAAAGATAAATGCCATTAAAATCAATCAAAATTCTATTTATCAAAAATTACGAACTTCTTTTTAGATTTTGACCTTTTGCGGGTCTAACGCTAGCTTATTAATAACTCGCAGTGGTTTTGTAAGGTAATCACAGTTGTGATTAAGTTTCACAAAACATATAATTTTTCACGGGTGATTGTGATTTTATTTCATCCCTAGTGTATTGACTTTGGAGCAATTGTGCTCCGAAAATATAACATATTTGGCGCTGTCAATTTTTATCATATAATTTCTAGGTGCGTAGAAAGTATTAAGAATTATCAATAAAAGAAAACATACAAGTCGACATGTCAATTTGTGTCAGCCGAAAATAGTGTGTATATCTTGTCTTATTATATAATTTGGTAACATTTTTTTACTTTCACTTCTCAAAAGGAATTGCTCAAAAGGAAAAAGAGAAACCTTAGAGGACTGTTTCGTCTGTCTGCCCATCTGTTCTGTTTTTCCTTATCAATGTCAATTAGTCTATCTGGTTGTTTATCGGTCTGATCTTTTTTGCCAGGAATGCGTTTAGGTATCACCTTAAGGTAAAATAAAATATATTTGCGAACATTGAAGCTGTTCAAATAAGCAAGCTTCTCTGACAACAAAATCAAGAGATACGATCCTTTATCTATATCCTATATCATAACCGCTTCTGATATTTCGCAGAAAACACTTAAGTAGTTTTTATATGACATATGTATTTTTAACGATTACAATCTTAATATTCCCTTTATTTCAATTTATGGCAAACTTTATTTTGGTTAATTTTGTCACTCGGCAAAAGTTGACTATACTACATAACACATTCGGGTCTCGTAGAAACTTCCTTGTATTTTGATACAAATACACTTTTATGTATTATATGCACAATTATTAGATATTGCTTAGTTTAGTGATGTGAAAATATGTTGCTACTTAGTCTACGTAGCTGTTTTCTTAGTAGGGGACACGCGTAAGTTCGATGTGATTTACAGCACATGGATTGTCTTCATCAGACGGACGGACGGACGACTACGGCAGATGACGTTTGGTTTCTAACTGCAGCTCCAGTAGAATTACAATGGTTTCTCGTGCAGTGTGAGGTCTTGCGTTATCATGGAGCAATAATGGTGAAGATCGATTTAGGAGTCACACTGCCAATTTCGCCATCATTGTTCGAAGTTTGGCACAGTAAACATCTGCTGTTATTGCCTGATCAGACCTGAGAAAGCTAATGTGAATAACACCATGAATAGACCACCAAAACGTTACCATCAACTTTTTTATAGGTAACCTTTGCTTTAGTGCACTGTTGCGGCGTTTGACCTGGGGTCAGTCATTGCTTTTTTCGCTGACGGTTATCGTAAACAATCCGCTTTTCGTCACTTGTCACAATTCGATCCAATATTCCGTCATTTCTATACTGATTCAATAAGGCAACACAAGTTTCAACACGCATTTCTTTCTGCAGATCAGTCAAATCATGAGGCACCCATTATTCATATTTTTTTATCTTATTGATTTGATGCAAATTAGTCAATATTGTAGGTAGTTTAACGTTAAACCATGCCGCTAATTCCCGGGTAGTTTGAGTCTAATCGGCTTCCACCATCTCCTTCAATTCAGCGTTATTCACCCGTGCCTTCCACGTGGCTCGTTCTTCAAGTCGAAGTTTCCATTACGAAAGCGTTTAAACCAAAAACGCACGGTTCGTTCATTAGCAGTCTTCTCTCCAAACACAGCGTTGATATTACAAGCCGTTTCTGCCGCTTTAGTTCCGCGTTGGAACTCTTATTCAAAAATGACTCAAATTCAAAGTATCTATTACTATACAACGACAATTTCATACTTTATCGTCGTTCGTTCGTTATCGTTTTGGTTGATATTTTGAAATTGTATCCAAGTTGCATCTATGTCAGTTGGGGTTCCTGTCTAAGTGGCATGAATGGCGGGTATACGACTCTAGCCTTTTTCTTCGGTCTCCGTCGGCCTAACCCTAGTTAGCCCTCTTCTTTTGTCCTGTCGAAAAACAATTAGATTCCCACGTCAGGCAGGTGACCAACCATAAAATAAACTAGCTAAACTCTTTGCCCGCCGTGTCCGTGTGGGTGACGGATTAACATGACGGAGTGTCATCACCCCTATTCATCCCGTGGGTGTCGTAAGAGCCGCCTAAGTAAACTACGTAGGACAATAGCACTGCAAAAAGAAGGAAAACTTGCAACAAACCCTATACCAAACCGTCTGGTCAGCGTGGTATAGTAGGCCAAAAACTCTGTTCTGGGGAGATGCCGGTGTCCCGCACTGGACTGGCTGTTTTTTGCTTTTGCTGTTTATTGCACTGACCTCAAGTAAAATTGGGAGAAATGCAGAAAAATGATGAATCACTATGATATATCTAAATTTTAGAAATTACAAACAGAACAGGAAAACTTTAAATTTTTAACAGATTTTCTAGAACTTTTAGTGATGGTTTACTCATAGTTAATTCTATATATGAAAGAGCAGTGATAAATTTTGCAATGCATTACGTAGGTACAATCGCTGCCATAATACAGAGTGCAAGCATTAAGGTTGCAAATAAACCGCTTCTTAATGCAATACTAAACTAAAGTTCAATCAAAAAGTGTTTGACGAACAGACTTAGGTATATTTATGAAAAAAAGTACACTTAGAGGACAACATCATCAATCTCGTGGTATAATTACATGTTTGTTTCATTAACGAGGTCCTACGTCGTGTACCAGCTCGATCGAACTGTTATCAGATTCATAACGTTAAGGCATTTCCAATACCAGACATGTCTGGCGGCAATGAAATTAATCAATACCCAATAATTAATCTTATCTGGTTTTATAAATAAATTGATTCTATAATACGTATTATTTTTAAGGTACAATACAAAGAGGTTAGCAATTCAAGCAACCAGCAATGGAATACTGCTAACCAGGACATCCCACCGTATATTCACTCATATCAAATAGACGGCCTCATACCTGACAAATATTACAAGTGAGTATTTTGTATAAAGTTCTAATCCAGCAAAGCATACTTGAAACTACTAGTACTGATTCAATAAATTAAAACTAACTTTTACCTGCAACTTTGAACGCTATCTATCGTCCATAAATTTAGCTAGTACTCAGGACTACTACTTTTTTAGGGTTCCGTACCTCAAAAGGTAAAAATAGAACCCTTATAAGATCACTCTCTTGTCTGTCTGTCTGTCCGTTGTCAATACCGATTTTCTCAGGAACGCGAGGATAAATTTCAACTTACTAAGTTGAAATTTATACCAGGTAGTGAGGTCTATAGTTTCTATTAGGTGTATAAAAATCAAGGTCCTGAGTCAATACGATAAAAAAATATGGGCAAATGTAGATTTTCGCGAAAACTTGTAAGTACCAAAATTTACCTTAATTTTCAACTTTTTTTATTTTAATGGTTAAACTATCGAGATAGTTACAGGCTCTTAGATACGAAAAAATTGTTTTATATAGAAAGAAAAATTTGTTACAAATGATTTTAAAAAGAACCAATGAAGTTTTTAGTATGTGGCTACATATTTTAATATAATTGTGCTCTAGCAAGAAAACGAGAACACGTAACGTTATGTAAGCACTCTTTAAACCGCGCTTGAGGTAAAATATAAGCCTTTCTTAAAGCTTTTCATTTATATTCTGTATTGCGTAGGTACTCTTGTTACTTATTAATTATATTATTTTCCAGTTCAGAGTTTAAAATTAAGTTTAAAGTTCAGTCCTTATTTTTGTAGGAAGTACTTGTAATATTTCGAAAGGGGTATGTTCTGGGTGAATAATTGAATAGTTGTTATGCGGAAATTGGCACTTGTTATAGGAACTATACGACGGGGTGTTTTTGAAGACGATAAGATAATAAATATCAAGATTCAAAATGTTTTGAATGTATTTTATTTTAATTCCATTCAGACTACCATATTAGTTGGTCACTTTTGAAATTGGAATTAGGTTATGTACCTACGTCTTTAAAACATTTGGTTTTTTTATTATACATATTTTATGTCATGTTTCTAAATTAGTTATACAAAAATTTAATAAAATCATCATCTAAATGTGTAGTCTGTGTAAATTCTTTAAACCACTTATACTTACTGCTTACATTAGTATATATCCTTTGCGCAGGTTTCGAATAGCAGCTGTATATTCGAACCAAGATAATAAATCAGGCAAGAGTTCCAGCCGGTTTCATTTACAGCACGGTGGATTTAAAGCACCGCGAGCTCCTGTGCTCACAGGCGCCGTACCCATGTCGGCTACAAGTATACAACTAGATTGGAATGTAAGTAAAAATAAGGTAATCATAATAATCCTTTTTATCATAATATAGATAGTGTGTGAAGTCCACGACTTCTGTACTATGTTAGGGTTGCGGTCGTATGACTTAAGTCCTTTTCTCGTGTTTCTAGACCTCACAATAATGTTTCAAATGTTTATCATGACATTTCGTCGGTGTCGAGATGACAGTAGTGTCAACTGTGGGTACCAGGGATTTCCTTTTTAGGGTACACCTGGTTCCCCGGCTACTGGTACCGGAGACAGCGTGCGGTTTTTAGTCGGTTCGAGTCCGACATAGCCACCGGTAGGTGGTATCCTAGGGGATTTCCGCACGAAAAAAAAGTAGTGTCAACTGTTCGAGTATGAGAAACTTCTACGGTTTACGGTAGGATTTTGCTCGATACGCTTAAAGTCACCTCAACGGTAGAAGTAATTAATATTGCTTAAGCAATTTGCGATGCTTAAAATAATTAAAATACAGACATGCGGCTTGTCAAAGAGAATAAAAAGCCTAAACAAATTTGTTTATTTTATTTATCTAGGCGGTTCTAACCATTTCGAATTCGCTATACTTTGATAATTTAAAAGTGCGTGACTAAATGAGCCTAACGAACTAATATCATACATAAATACTTCAAAGTTTTCATTTATAATCATATAATACATAACTTATTTTGTAGCCTGTGGAATGATAGGCTAAAAAAAGTTTTAACTGTAGGAGGTTATAATATAACTTCCTACAGTCGAAATGGTAATTTAAATTTTTATGTTACTTATTTTGTAGATGGTTATTTTTAATATATATATATATTTTATGTATGACATTTCCTCTCTCAAGCTGTTTCGTGAAACAGGAGCGTGCTTAAGCGTACACTATTTGATAAGATACCTACGATATGCATTTATTTAACCAATGAGCGGTGTTAGAGTTGGCCGTCAGATGGTAGGTGAAATGTCAGATATTACATATTTCGGTCGTTTTTTAATAGTGGTCGAGCGGCGGTGAAGTGGAAGCGGAAGGTTTTTACGTATACTACCGAGCAGTAGACTTCGCTGGTCCTTATGAGAAGGTGACTGTTGCCGGTAGAGCACGGCGCTTGCTGATCAACCACTTAACGCCTGACACCGGCTACGATATCAAACTGCAGGCGTACACTGCCCAGGCAGCATCTGACTTCAGTGCTATTAAGGTATATTCCTATTTAAGAATCACAAACTGTTTCAAATCCAGATTTCTTGAAGACAGTTTAATTAAAACAGTTGGTTTTTAGATATTCCTTTTTTATAGAAAGATACATCCCCGTAAATTTGAAATAAGGTGTACCTTAGAGATACCTTAGATATAACATGCATGATTATACTCGATCGAGCATTTTTTTCATTTTATTTAATAATACTATAGTAAAAATACCTGATAAACGAACTAAATATCTGAAGGAAATTAAATGATTTTTAGCTGAGTGCTGAGTTCAATTACCAAATCCTATTTTTGCCTGTGTATATTTGAAAATTTTTATAACTACGTGAAGCATTTTGTTGTTTCTAGTATAAAGTTACATATTGTAGCAACATCCATGTTTGTAGTTTACTCTTTGAGTGTGCTCTAAACTTTAAAAAATAATGGGATGGATTCTCTAAAACTATTTTGTTTGCGAAGCAAATAACTAGAATTTGAGAGGAAAGCTTTGTTCTTATCCATTCGACAATTGCTCGTCTGGTGCTTTTATAATCTTGTAAGCATCTGAGTTCTTTAGTTTCTACTTATTACATATATTTCTATTAGGTATATCTTCAGGATAAAATAATGTACACGACACAATTTACTAGATTAAAACGTAAACCAAACTGCCTTTATCCATCGTGCATTGAATATAACAATTTTGTCAACAGTCAGCGAAAACTCTTCGTCCAGCAGCGGGTGCAATAACTAGCACGAGTCCAGCACCTACGGAAGAAACTTCCAGCACTAAAGCATCTGGTGGAGGTGCATTGGTCACGGCTGGAGGAGCGATAGGCGCTGCAGCTCTTCTCGTCGTACTGGCTACAGCGTTGTTCCTATGTCGACGTGCTAGAAGACCAACAGCTCACAGTAAGTTAAAGATGTTTTTTTCTTCTTGTGGAAATCCTCTCGGATATCACTCACTGAAGGGTCGGTTATGTGGGACTCGAACCGAATTAAAGCCACACCCTGTCTCAAGGTACCATTAGCCGGGAAACCAGGTGTAACCTACAAAGGAAATCTATCGTACCCAGTTTAAGATTACCTATAGTACCTCTGAACGAAGTAAATTAATTTATATTACTAGACTTTTACTGAAGTCTTGTTCATTAAATTGATTAACTAACAAAATTATGTATAACTAGCTTTTTCCAGTAAAGTAAACTTTGTCATTCCTCAAGAATCAAAGTATCTCCATGCCAAATTTCTTTAAAGTCGGTTCAGCGGTTTAACCGAAAAAGTGTAACAGACAGACAGAATTACTTTCGCATTTATAATATTGATAGAGAAAATAATACTCAAATTGCCTATACTGAAGTAACCAGACTACTGATAATTATACTCATATGTTAATAAATACCTACATACCGACCTACTACATACGACCGAGTGGTTTGTGTAACGGACTGCTATTCCAAAGGTCGCGGGTTGGATTCCCGCTCAAGTGAAACATTTGTGTTCATGAACATTTAATTTTTGATTTGGTCTGGGTGTGTCTATGTATAATATGTATGTATTTACAAAAAAAGTATAAATGTATTTATATCAGTTGTCTAGTACCCACAGTACAAGCTTTGCTTAATTTGGGACTAGATGGCGTTGTGTTAATGTGGTAGAATATTATTATAGACCAATTACTAGAACTCAACTCTAAGCAGTACTCCAATTACTTTTATAAACTCGACAACGGTAATTGAATGTTCATTTGTTTATGTACTTCAGTTGTAGAAACACAACTAAGAGAAGTGAACACAACAGTAGCTTAGCATACGCAATTTACAAAATTAATTTAACACATGAATATGAGCGTGTACAATTTGTAACTTCATATTCAACATAGATAGCGGTACTAATAATAGTTTCCTCTTAATTAACACGTGTTTGAGGCGAAACTCGCTAGTGGGAGCCCCGGTTTAGACAAGCAGTACACCTTGCGTTTTATAACGTAAAGCTTAGCTTAGCCTGTATAAAGAAGCAATTTTTTTATGGATGTTAGTAAGTTTATGCTTCTAAAAGACTATATATATATATATATTTTTTTTTAAAGACAACGCCCGCATTAGGAATAAATCCTGTGTCGCGGGGGACTTTACAAACATACATGAAACGGACATAAAGAACACCCAGACTCAGAACAACAATTTGTGGATCACACAAAGTGTCGTCCCATGTGGGGTTTGAACCCACAACACTCGGCGTAGTAGGAAGCGGCGTGGCGACCGCTTAAACCACTACGCCATCCGTGCAGCATTTATATTTCACTTGTTTTGTGTATAAGCTAGAAAGTATTTTCGTACATTAGTCAAACTTTTTTTACTAACGACACATTTGTTTCCATGTGTTTTATGCTAAAACGCTTATCCATATGTATATTTCTGGGATTTTCATAGTGCTAAGTTTTTGCAATAAATTTCCTTAGATCTATAACTATTTTTACCCGACTCCGGTAGGAGGAGGGTAATGTTACTAGACGCTTGGATAGTTTTTGGCATTTAAGGTTTTTTGTTTCTTTTGTATAATTGACTAGTTCAGTAGCATCAGCATCTTTTTGTTAAATTTACTGGTAATCGGTGCGGTCTTTTATTCTTCTATTTTATTGTTGTATTCGTGCTTTCACTGCTTACTTAATTATATAAGACAGTCTTCACCACAATTTGTACGTATTAACGTATTACGTACATGTCTATTTCGGCTACTTTCAGATTCTCTTTCATGTAATATAATTAACTCCTAACATGAGGACGCCTTTCATCTGTTTCCTTTATAGGCCAACGTTGCCGACCCCCAAGGTCATCTAAATCCCTCCTTTATATTAATATACGAGTATGATCTTAAGCAGTTCATTTTCATAAGTAACCAGTGTGTTTTAGAATTCAAATAGAAATTAAATTCAATTTCTTTTTTGGTAGTTGTAGTGTTGCCTATCTGCAATTTACAACGAAATCTAAAAATATTGTACATAAACAGGGAGGGATGAGCCATGTCGAGACCCGTAGGGAATTCAATCCTCGGTGCCCCTTTTTTTGAAGATTCAGCTCTCTGTAAGTCGATGAAGGATTGTCAGTAATAGCATCACCAGCATCACCTGACTGATGCGTAACTCCTTAGGAACTAACAGCAAAAGTGGGGCCCCTAACCGATGTGGGTGGTGTGTGTTAATCCGGCCCCGCACATACAGCTTTTAAAATTGGAATGTAATTCTATCAAAATTGACGTTTGACAGACACTTTTATTTATTTTAATTTAGTTTCATTTAAGTGGAACAACGATTTTTAACGACCGCAGTCATTCGACCGAACGAGCGTCCTTACCGTTCCATTTATTTTGTCAGATCAATGTACAAATGACTTTTTTTTGTGTACGAAAGAAGTCATTTATTTTATTTAGGTCAATTTAGGCTTTAGGGTCATTATTCCACGTTGTCTCAGTTAGTATAGAACGTAATTTATTACTAACTAATCCTCACTCAGAAGATTCACAGTCCGTTTCAGTAAGGACGGTAAGAAATCGTTTTTGTTAAGCTATGTGTAGTCATTATTTGAATTTTGTCGCGTTTGAGTTTGAGAAGTTTGAGTTTTGCTCGTTATAAGTATAGATAGTTCAACTCAGTTTTGCGCGCGGCCCTATGTGTGCGTGGGCTTGTAAATATACAACTTTCATTCGTGTGGCGGTGACGCGGTGCTCGGACGACGACTGCCACACGAATGAAAGTTGTATATTTACACTTAACCATTAGGCAGAGTTGGCGACTACCTAAGGTCCCACATCGGTTAGGGGCCCCCCTTTTGCTCTTAGTTCCTAAGGAGTTACGCACCAGTCAGGTGATGCTGGTGATGCTGGTGATACAATCCTTCATCGACTTACAGAGAGCTGAATCTTCAAAAAAAGGGGCACCGAGGATTGAATTGAGTTTGAGAAGTTTGAGTTTTGCTCGTTAAAAGTATAGATAGTTCAACTCAGTTTTGCGCGCGGCCCTATGTGTGCGTGGGCTTGTAAATATACAACTTTCATTCGTGTGGCAGTCGTCGTCCGAGCACCGCGTCACTGCCACACGAATGAAAGTTGTATATTTTATTTAGGTCAATTTAGGCTTTAGGGCCATTATTCCACGTTGTCGTCAGTCGTCGTCCGAGCACCGCGTCACTGCCACACGAATGAAAGTTGTATATTTACAAGCCCACGCACACATAGGGCCGCGCGCACAACTGAGTTGAACTATCTATACATATATTTGTACATTTTATTACAGAGGAATCTGTAATAAATCTCGGTATTTCTAACTAAAATTACTACTAAATATTATATTTACAGTCAAACATAAATCTGAGTATGTCTGTAAGAGGGTGTTGATACATGTTAAGTTTTGCTATGTAAAACAAATATAGTATAAGAACTTCTATAGAATTGAATAATAATAATATTTCGGACAGCTGACACACAAAACCATCTAGTTTTTTGTAAATACATACATACTATACATAGAAAACACCTAAACTCCGAAACAAACCCGGGAATTGAACCCAAAAACTAAACACAGCAGTTTCATACCACTCCGCCACCGAGGCAGTGAATATAAGAGTATTAAAGTTGACAGCCTTCCCTTTGCCACACTACCCATTAACAAAACACTACCGAGAGATGTTCACTACTGTTTTCATAGGGTTTAGGGATTAGGGCATGACCGCTGTTTTAGACCCGTTTCACGTTTCATTAAAATTCTCTGTTCAACCCATGTCCACATGTAAGTCTGTACCAAAGGAACCGTGGATTTTCTTTTCAGATACTAAGCGCCTGTAATGAAAGAAACAATATCATGTAAATTTACTATTCAATTAAGTTGTTTTTTTTTGGTGTAGGACGGCAAACGAGCAAAAGGGTATTCTGATGGTAAATTACCAGCCGGACATCTGCAACTGAAAAGTCACAAGTGCGTTGCCACCAGTTTTCCTCAGTTTCAGTTCAGTCCTCTCCTCAAAATCAGGGGCAGGTGTTTATGTTCATGGACCAATTCCTTCCACACGCCACTGTAACTCCTGTACACCAGAATCACCAGCAGTGACCCACGAACACACTGAGTTATGACACTCTGGAAGTCCCAGGAAAAAATTAACTGTCTGTAAAACCCGCAACTAAATTAATCAAAAGAAAATTGGAGGAGTTGGAAATACAGTAACCGGTTTTCCGTAAGTTTCAGTTCGGTCAATCCTATGGTTGCGAAGTATCTGAAGATTATCCCACGTACAAAAGTTTAAGTTACAGGTGCCTGACAAGCAGCCATACCTCGAACTAATCAGGGCGAAAGCTTACATTACCCAACCGATCCATTTAAACTAAATATCCTTTCCCAATCGTATCTTTTTAACTTTCTTAATTTACTCCCAATTTTCCCGTTTTTGTAAGTACAAAACATGAAACATAAGCATCGTAACCCATCCATGTTTATGACTATCGACTTTATTCCCTTACTTCAAGATTTATTTTAAAAGAATGTATGTGTAAATGTTTACATAAATGAGAGAGTTAATGAAGGCAGCGAAATATACTTTTCCGTGATTACTTACTCCGTTAGATCAGAAACAAAAAATGTCTCCTGGTTGATCTCCGTTATTAGATTATTATTTTATATGCGGGAGTTATTCACTCGTTATTAATACTAGGTCTACTGTTTAATGTTAATAATTACTATTAAGACCATAAAGCATTTTTAAAGCATATTGAATACATGAAATATTTTATTTCAGAAGAAAAAGGCAATGTGACAGAAAGCGGTGGGGCTAACGGGTACATCCCTGCTAAAGTACCCATTACTATCACTGCAAATCCGATGCATTCTGAGGTAAAACAAATATATTATTGAATAACCTTATATTTAATTATTGAATTCTGGCTAGGATAGCTGGTAGGCTCGACTCTACCTATATGGAAAACTGTTCCAAGATTTATATGGAGAGAGACTAGAATTAAGTAGTCATTAGTTTTATTAACTCTTGATTTGAAGTGTTTGCATGTATAACAATTTCTTAGACCCATAGAAATTGTTATACATGCAAACACTTCAAATAGAAAGACCTGAATAAAGAAATTAAAAATAGGTAAATAAATATTTAGTTAATTGTTCCTATCAAAAAGCCTATAACTATTTATTTTAACATTTATATGGTAGTTTAGTGTTTGATAAGAAAGAGTATAGTTTAAACTTTATTTCTAGCTGACCCGCGCAACTTCGTCTGCGTCTCTCAATAGTAATAATTTTTCTCCGTTTTTGAAACATTCTTCATTGGTGCTCCGCTCCTATTGGTCTTAGCGTGATGAAGAATTTTTCAAATCGGACCAGTAGTTTCTGAGATTAGCGCGTTCAAACAAACAAACAAACAAACTCTTCAGCTCTATAATATTAGTATAGATAAATCTTACATCAATTTAAATTTTAGTATAGGAAATGCGATTTTGGCCACGTGTGTATTTTCGTGTCCGTTTTAGGCCGACTCTTAAAGTCGCTTCTGCTCTTGATAATGGTCCCCCGTGTCGGGTGCCAAAACTAGTCAGGCATCCTTAACATACATGCGTGGTTAAAACCTTATATCTTTTATAAATGTGAATACTTTTCACGCAACAAGTTATTACTATATAACGGCATACTATGCTGTACTATATAAAATGCAGTGTTTTACGATCAAAATGTAAATGTGTACAATATACTATAAATACAATACTATTTAATTTATGTATTTAAGAATAATTTCATATCTACCGCCATAGTTGAAATCGTCCTGTATCAAATTCAAATTTAATACCTTATTTATAAAATTATGTAAAACCCTCAATTAATAAAATAGATCGACACACACAAAACTTTTTTGGCAAATGTAAAATTATAAAAATATAAGCCATAATGTCGACTGACTGTAGACTAGAATTACACTGCAGATATTAATATATTAGTATGAATTAAATTTGATATGAATTTTTTGAATAGCAGTTTTAGTGATTGTGGGATATGTTCGGAGGTGATTGACAAGATCTGACACGGACCGCCACCTGGCTAAGCCTAAAAGTGTCAAAATATTAAACAAATTTGTCTGAACTCTAGATTAATAAATTAATCTTATAAAGGGTGTTATTGACTCTAAGCCGTGTATTTATATCCTCCTCCTAATATATCTTGAGGCCTGTAGGTATGTATACATTTACTTAAAATTTGTCTTTTTTTTCTCAGGGAGGTGATGCGGGCGTAGAAATGTCTTTTCTACACAATAACAATACTGGAAACAACGACGATACGCTACCACATTCAAGAAAGAATGGAGCCGCACCACGGCAATACGTGTGAAGTAGAAACAAGGTTCCCATTACCTGTGTTACAATCGTCAAAATCTACCGTTTTGGTAGAATACGAAATTGTTGAAAATGTGATATCATTATTATCGCCATATCGAAATGTACGAACTTGCGACAGTACAAAATTATATTTATAATATTTACTTAGTGTAAGTTTGTGATTATGTTAAAATCTCAAATTCAAATGCCGTAAAACAGCCCAATGTTTAGTTTATTTTGTAATTTTGAAGATGACTCGTTATCAGAATAATGTAACTAGTTGTCTTTTTTTCATTTAGTGCCTATTTTGTCCGTCATAATTCATTAAGCGTTATTTATAAGACAAGACAGATAGATACTATAATTTTATTTATTAAAGTTTTGAGAACAAAATGTAGATCTGAATTAGTAGTAAGTATGTATATGTAGGACTGTTTTAACGCTTAGCGTAAAGCGTTTTAAGAATATCTAGTGTTGCCAGAAAGTGGAAACAAAATGGTAGAAAAGGCAATGTACTTAAGGATTGTTATTAAAAATTTATATTAATTATACAATTTTGACTCAGATCTGTTTTCTTGTACATTTTTGTTTCTTTTTATATTTTTATTTCTAAGGTTGTGACGTATGGGTTGACTTGTGTAGTGCGGCGTATTTATTTCAAAACACAATAAATAACAGTAATCAGTTTACTTAATTCATGTCCTGAATTTTCAGTTCATTTTATGATATTTTCTGCAATTTTCTCAAAATTTTTAGACGGAAATTTCAGGATACTGATCTAGTATTATAAATTAAATGCAAATAGATTATAAGTTCGTGTTTATTGCCTAATTGCTAATAACAAAACATCATTATTGAGAAACAGAAAGAATTTCACTAGAGTATTAGAAACTTTTATGCATTTTAAGCACAGGCAAAAACAATTGCATTTATGTTTCACGTTAAAATGAATGGAGAAGAATGCATCCGCTCATTAGTAATCGCAAATAAGACTGAAATGTTTAGACTTTACCGAACTATTATATAAACGTATTCGTAAAAATGTTAAACTAAGAAAAAAATACTGAATGGTTTTTAATGGACTCGAGAAAGCAGAAATAAATATTACGAGGACCGACTCGCTGTAAATATGCAAACAAAAAGTAAATTAAGTTTCATAATGTAATTTAAGCTAAAATAGACGGTTAATTTTCATTGTAGGTAATGTTTTAACACCTGGTCCCCGTTGATGGGGTAAAAACTTCATTCTGTGTTTTTTTGAATATGAAATATACGTATAAAATGAAATTATAAAAATTAATTACTTCTTGCGGTAACCTAAGTTTGTTGAAGTATTATGCTATAATGAGCGACAACCGTAACTTAAGATTAGGGATATCATATTAATAATAATAATATTTTCACAAATTTCACACCGCTGTCTGATCCCTAACAGACAGAGCCTGTACTATGGTAACCAGACTGCTGATAAACATACATATATATTTCTAAATATATACATATTATAGATAAAGTATACCCAGAAACAACTATAAACAACTAAAGATTTCTCGGTCTTGAGTTCGATTTAGTTTTGGTTAGGAGTTATGTTGGATTCTATAAGCTTTATACCTAGAATAAGAATCTTATGAATAAATTCAGAAAGTGTTATGTTAAATACAAATCGACCATTACCACCAAAAAAAATATATTTGTACCTATACCTGTTCGCAAAAGCATATGGTCAGTATTTTAATTACATTGCCATCACCAAAATATTTGAATGCAGTTTTTATAATTAATATAATTGCAGTTAAAATATCAATTAATTGCGCAATATTTCAGTTAAAATGTGGAGCGATTGCTTAAGACCTCAGCATACTGTTGGACCTGAAACAACACTCACACGTTCTGAGGCCGTTAATTTTGTTGACATAGCGTTTTGGAATATGGCATCACAATATATAATATTATGATGCCATATTAAAAAACGGTATGTTAAAATCATCCTCATCATAATTAAAAAGGAGGTGGCGCAAGAAAGTATATCCAAATGAAAACCTTAACACGGTGATGAAGTTCATAAGTCTTGTTCAGGGTTAATAAATTAAAAAAATACCATTTGTCTGCATTAAACAATTAGCGAGGGGTTTTACGGGCTTCGGCGCCATGTTAAGTGTTACCCCCTAATTGATTTATTATAATTGTACCGTAAAGTAATATATTTGTAAAATATATTAACAATACAATCCAATAAGAAAGTAATGATTTCTTTTATTTTTCCTTATAAATTGAAATAATTTTTATATTAAACGCAAGGGTGATGTAGGGTGAAATAATAATAATAAAAATCTCGTGAAAGTTGAAAAAGAAAAACAAATAAAATATTTGGATTTATCTCACGGGATTGTCGATATGTGGAATGTGGATTCGGCGATCATTGTTCCGATAGTCGTATCTGCTCATGGATTGATAGCCAAGAGCCGCGACAAATCTGGTGGCGAGGATCCTGTCTTTGGAGTCCAAACCTCTGGTGTCTTGGTCCCTGTACCCAATGTCGGTGGTTTACTATTTTTTATATTTTTAAATGTACTTTTTTTCTTTTGTAATATATTTAAAAATGTAATCAATATGTATATATAATGTAATAAAGAGTATAATACTGCGAGTTTTGTGAGAATTTGACTGCACGGATGGCGTAGTGGTGTAAACGGTCGCCACGCCGGTGACTACTACGCTGAGTGTTGTGGGTTCAAACCCCACATGGAACGACACTTTGTGTGATCCACAAATTGTTGTTCTGAGTCTGGGTGTTCTTTGTGTCCTTTTCATGTATGTTTGTAAAGTCCCCCGCGACACAGGATATATTCTTAATGCGGGAGTTGTCTTTTTTAACAGAAAAAAATTATAAATTACAATTGACTTAAAGGTGACTGAAAACTTTAGTGATTCTATCAAGACACTGCGCTTTTCAAGACTACTTTTTGCCTCGCACAACTAATCTGTGGAACAATTTATCGTCGGCGGTAATTCCGGACCGATTCGACCTTCAAACCTTAAAGAAAAGAGTGTACTCCTTCCTAAAAGGCCCGCAACGCGTTTGTGAATTGCGAGTTGCAGGCGTTCATGGGCGGTGGTAGTCACTTTCCATCAGGTGATCCGTCTGCTCGTCTGCCCCCTCTTACGTAAACAAAGGACGGAATTTGGTGGGCCACGTTGTATTGGGATCTATCAATTATCACAGACAGGACTATTGTTGCCAATCAGACTGTTATTGTGGTGTGATAGATCGATTAGAGCGTCGTGCAATGATTGTATTGTCATGGCTGTTGCATAAGAGTTGGTAGTACATTAAATAAGTATAAGGAGATAGAGAATTGAGGATGTTTAATAAAGTTGAAGTGAAAAAAAGTTGTGTAAGTAATTTAGATATTGCTTGAATAGTCTAGTAAGTACTAGACCATTCCTCATTATACACATATTGTAGCCGCTTTTCTTCTCAGGCGGACTACTCACCGGCTGACCCAGTGGAGAGATCTATGAGATTACCTCAGGGCGCCTTCTAAGAGAAAAGAAGTGTGTGCGTGTGGGAAACCTACGGGACTCTTTAGAGGAAAACAACTTACACCTCAGTCATACATACATGTATATTTCAAAACAAAATTAAATTTACAATAAAAAAAAATCAGAGGGTATAAAAAAAACCGCAGCGGAGCGCGTCAGAGCCGAGCTGATGGTGCTCGGTGCCTCCTCGTCGTCCCTCCAGGAGGTTACTTCCTCTTCCGCCCGAGTCGGCTATTTATATTAGATACGGATAAAAGTTTAACAAATTACAATTATAAGTTTAAGTACGTAACTCTTGGGTACGGCTGTCCGCTTGCGTCGTGAGCCGCGCAATCACCAGCTTTGCCAGAGGGTACCGAGAAACTTGAGTCTGTACCAGAAGGCCACAAAAGAGCAAGCACGCCGTCTAAGACTGACCGTCTTGACCCCGAAATCTGGGACCCTACGAATGGATTAGCACTCATATAATTAATCAGGTTCCAGAAACAAATAGGTTTAAGAAGAATTTAGACAATACTTACCACTTTAGTGGGTAGTTTGAACAGATAATATATTAAGAAAATCAAATCACACAGCAATCAAAACACTATATAAGATCGGAAGGCACGAGATAGCAGTGTCTCCCGTGGCAGAAAGCCGGACTTATATATCCTAGGTTCAGGAAGCTTCCAGACTTTATCCCTACTCAACACTTTACTTTGACATTTAACATCAGTGAACACAGAAGATCAATACTGTAATTATAACTACCTTAGATAAATTAAAAACAATGCAACGCGGCTAATAGATGTAGCTTTTAACAAGACCAACAAATGTACAAAAAAATAACTGTTACACCACCCCCTCCCTCAAAGTATTCCCTGCGTAGCATGCGCAGGGAATATCATCACCAGGGTCAACCCAAGAAATGCAAAATAAATTATATAGCTCGCGCTGACCACACTCATTGTGAGCAATATGAAATCCAAACAAAACAATAACTACCAAAAAAAACAAAGTCAAAAAGGCCTTCACCCAATACTACAGAGGTGTTACCCTATTTACTACCCGAATCACTGTATGGTTCTCACATAAGTGAACACCATAGAGTGAGCAGGTGTGTGGCAAAGAGAGACCGTGCGACGCGAAGTGTGCAATCTCACATACGAGTAGAGACGGAACTGATATAGGTAGGAGAAGGATCAGAAGGTTGTTCCTTTTCACTATACTTCAAAATGTCCTTAATGTGATATACTCCCAGATCCTTACCATCCAAATCCGACAGTTCATAGACTAAAGGAGAGCGTTTGGCGGTGACAATGCATTTCATAAATTTAGGCGCTAACTTCGCCGTAAAGTTCTTAGCCTTGTTAGATAGATAGAATGTCCTCTTATAAACGATCTGTCCCACTTTCAATTCCACATGCCTTTTTCTGAGATTGTAGTATTTCTCGTTACGCCGGTGAGCAATATCTAAGTAATTCCTCACCT